TGAGTTCAGGAGGTTCTGTGTGTGGTGCTGTGAGTTCAGGAGGTTCTGTGTGTGGTGCTGTGAGTTCAGGAGGTTCTGTGTGTGGCACTGTGAAGTCAGGAGGTTCTGTGCAAGGTGCTGGGGGTTCAGGAGGTTCTGTGCGTGGTGCTGTGAGTTCAGGAGGTTCTGAGTGTGGCACTGTGAATTCAGGAGGTTCTGTGCAAGGTGCTGTGGATTCAGGAGGTTCTGTGCATGGTGCTGTGAGTTCAGGAGGTTCTGTGCGTGGTGCTGTGAGTTCAGGAAGTTCTGTGCAAGGTGCTCTGAGTTCAGGAGGTCTGTGCATGGTGCGGTGGATTCAGGAGGTTCTGTGTGTGGCACTGTGAATTCAGGAGGTTCTGTGCAAGGTGCTGTGGGTTCAGGAGGTTCTGTGTGTGGTGCTGTGGGTTCAGGAGGTTCTGTGTGTGGTGCTGTGAGTTCAGGAGGTTCTGTATGGGGCACTGTGAGTTCAGGAGGTTCTGTGCATGGTGCTGTGAGTTCAGGAGGTTCTGTGTGTGGTGCTGTGGGTTCAGGAGGTTCTGTGTGTGGTGCTGTGAGTTCAGGAGGTTCTGTGTATGGTTCTGTGGGTTCAGGAGGTTCTGTGCATGGTGCTGTGGGTTCCGGAGATTCTGTGTGTGGTGCTGGGGGTTCCGGAGATTCTGTGTGTGGTGCTGTGGGTTCAGGAGGTTCTGTGCATGGTGCTATGAGTTCAGGAGGTTCTGTGTGTGGCGCTGTGAATTCAGGAGGTTCTTCATTGAATGAGTTATGTCACTTTTTTCTACTAATATATTAAAGTAGTGATTTGTACTGATACATGTTCTCATGCTGAACCAACCTTGAAATAGTCTGATATACCCTATTAGATCACAATGATTAGATTTGTTTCAAATGTACCTGTGAAACTGGTAAAGTCAATTTTAAAGTACAGTTACTAATAACATGGGCCTGTTCTTTTTTTCTCCCTAATTACTCTTATGTGATATTAAGATCTATAAAGCACTCTCTTTCTGGAATAGTCTGCATATATTAAACATCCAGCATCCCTTAAATTCAGATATAATTTACCCATAAAACTGTGTATGTGAGAACTTGTTTAGGTGTGAGGTCCTTGATCATCACCTGAATGTCTTCCACACTTACTGGTCTACTCAAGTTCTCTATTTCTTCTTGAGTCCACTTTGGCACTTGATATGATCCTGGAAGTGACCAGTGTCAGCTGTTTCCAGTGTGTTACCACACAGTCCTCACTGTGCTCTAACCTCTCTTCTCAGTTGGACCTATAGCTACTACTTATTTTTTGTTCCATCACCAGTATTATCCCTCAGTTTTCTTTAATCAATTTTACCAGAAATCTATTGACTCTAAAAAAGCTCCCCAAACAAAGGCGGCCTTTAGCTCTGTTGCCCTCCTGTTTTCCTGTGCCCTATTTCACTGACTTCTGCCATTCACTTTACTGTCTCCCTTGCCTTGCTGGCTCCTCAGACTCACTCCTTTGGTCTTTTTCCAACCTCTTGGGTTGGTTTATCTTAGCACTAGAAATTTTCCATGTTTCTGAGCATGAGTGTTTAATTATAGATGTCCAGGGCAATGTGTCAGACATGTGCTGTCCTGATGATCAGCACACTCTCACAAGTTCACTTCTGAGGTGAGCTGTAGACATGCCTTCCCTTCAGTGTGGGCTCCTCCCTTTCAGTGTAGGTTCCTCCCCATTAGTGTGAGTTCTTCCCTTTCCATGTGGGCTCCTCCCATTTAGTGTGAGCGCCTTCCCTTCAGTGTGGGCTCCTCCCATTTAGTGTGAGCTCCTTCCCTTCAGTGTGGGCTCCTCCCATTTAGTGTGAGCTTCTTCCCTTCAGTGTGGGCTCCTCTCCATTACTGTGAGCTCCTCCCCTTTAGTGTGGGCTCCTGGTACAGCCGGCCTGTGTGTTGCTCGGCTGTGCTCCAGGTAGCTGAAATTCCCTGGGGCCCTTGTAGTCTTGTCAATGTCCTCTGTTGCTTAAAAAGGAATTCGTAGAGATCAAAAGACACCTAACAGTGCCAATATATTATGTTGTTTAAGGCATTAGTACTTCAGTTTACCTATTTCCTGGAGTGGGGTATTAAAATCACCAAATACAACTATTCATTCCCCAAGTTTACACACCAGCTCAACAACAGGCACTGAGGTCCACAGATGTGTCTCAGGCTGCCTAAGGGCACACCTATTGATGGCTGACTCTAGGCCCTTATGACCCACTGTTTCCAAACACCCCAAGACCCCCTGTAGCCTGCCCAGACTTCTTGTCCTTCTTGGGCTCACCAGGGTTGACTCCAGGGCCAGGCCCAGTTGTTTACCTACAACCTGTTCAGAGCTACCACAAATAGGAGTCCCAGATTTCCCAAAGTCACATGCAAGAACCTTCAGGGAACCTCATAGACTAACCCAGGGGAAATGCAACATTGTCCCAGATTTCCCAAAGTCACATGCAAGAACCTTCAGGGAACCTCATAGACCAACCCAGGGGAAATGCAACATTGTGCCACTTCCCACACATTCAGTGTTCACGATAAGGGGAAGAGAGTCTGCGGTGACGCACCTTCTCCCATAGGTAGGCTGTAAGGTCAGAGTAGATCCATAGGCCTCAGTGGTTCAGACCAGCCGTAGCTCAGAGCATCCGTAATAACCAGAATTGGCAACTCACAAAGGATAGGCTTTTGTCGTGGGGCCACCTACCTGGAACACAAAAGCACAGGCTACATGAGCTTACACATGGGTACCCTGTCCATCAGAATCAGCTTCAGCAGAACCTCCCCATGTGTTCCACAGAGCAGTAGCAGCTCTTTAGTTCCCAGCTCATGGCACTGATTGGGGGATGGGGCAGCACGGACATGGCCACTCGGTGCACACTTCCCTGTGGGCCCCAAATGAGATCACACCTCCCATTTCTGGGCTTCCACTGTGTAAATGGGAAGTCCAAATGAAAGTTTTAGGTGAAATTGTATAAGTTTTTAACTTAAAATATTTAGGATATTTTCTTGTATACATACAAGATTTTGAAGGAATATGTATTAAATTAGATGTTAATTTACATACACTACTGGTTTTCTAATTTTGGTAAAGTTAAGGTCACTCAGTTGCTCCAACCTTAGCTGTAGCTCTGTCCCCTGGGGCTGCCCTCCAGCCAGTGAGGGCTGCTCCAGAGCCATTTGCACTGGGGTCAGAGGTTCTGCCTTTTTGTTTTATGAATTCATGTTTAGGGCCACAGCCTAGTAACAATTGCCCATCTTCATAATCTTATCCTCTTTGCCATTGTTTTCAAATCTATTTTGTAGGTACATTTATGATCTCCCTGAGTTACGCTACGAATGTCTTAGAAGGCTTTACAACAACATCTGATGTTTGCAACTGTGACACCATAGCACCAAAAACAAGGATAAGTCTTGGGAAATGCTTCTGCCTTTCTGTGGGTCCATCAGGTAACCAACCCAACTTAGGCAAAAATCAATAGCACTGACCCAGGTTGTTTAGAGTGAATGCATCTTACCCATGTAACACTTTGAGGGTCAAAATGAATGAGTGAGAAAGGAACCAGACGTAAGCAGGCCCTATGGGAGAACTCCAGGAAGAGCCCCCAGTTCACCAGGTGTAGCTGGAAGACAGGTGCACATCTCATTGCTGACTGAGGACCATCACACAATGAGTGGAGTGCATGCAGCCTGGGCTGCCCAGAAGATGGCAGAGGGCAGTGCCATCCTGTGCTTAAACCCACACTCCTCACCACCACACCTGTGGAGCCCAGGGCAGCATGGGCTGTGCTTACAGTCAGGTGTGGTGCTGCCGCCACCAGCCAGTTGCTTGTAAACACCAGGTGCGATGCTCATGGGATGATGAAATCCTCCACTGAGGTAAACTGATGAATGTTAGGTCTTACACTGGGGAAACAGCCATGGAGAACCAGCAGGTTGGCCCTGGAGCCTCCACCAGAGCTGAGGCAGGAAGAGAGGGGTGGGGTCTGGGTAGAGGCAGAACACAGAAAGGGTCAATCCCAAGAAGAGAAGATTTGATTTGGATGGATTTGATTTCCTGGGTCAGAGCATGAAGGGAAGACTCAACACCATAAGAGGCCCAAGGTGACCCAGGGCAGTGATTCTGGTAGAGGACAGAGGTGACCTGGGGCAATAGCTCTGGCAGAGGACAGGCAGGAGGACACAGGGGACCTGGGGCAGTGGTTCTGGTAAAGGACAAGCAGGAGGACAGAGGTGACCTGGGGCAGTGGTTCTGGTAGAGGACAGACAGGAGGACAGAGGTAGTGATTTAAAGGCATTAATACCAGTAGAAAAGAGAGATTTTGGGAAGGAGGAGGCACATCTGGGAATGTTGAGATGAAAGGGAAAGACTGGAGATTAAGTTTTCTATAGAAATAAGAGAATATCAAAATATCAGAAGAGATTGATTTAGGTCTACTCCCTAAAATTCCATTCATTTTTTGAAAAATCACATTTTGCTGACCAACAGAAGAGAATGCTCATGGACAGGGAGCCTGGTCAACTGCCCAGGTCCTCAACGCACCCCTTTCTGTTAGAAACACCTGTTATTGCTAGTTCAGGAAACATGTTAAAACTTCTAAAATGAACAGGAAAAAAAGTATGCAAAATCTCTTTGGATAAATGATATTCTCAAAGTAGCAGACCTTCTCTGAAGTCCACTTTGGTTCTGTGAGGACAGAGAAAGTGAAAACTAAAATGTGTTCAGATGGTGCAATCTCCCAGCCATACAGTGGGAGGGAACTCCAGCACAGTCCCCAGCACAACTCAGAACATTACAACAAGGTACAGATATGAGCACAGCAAAAAATGAATACCCCAAAATATCAAGAATGCAAATGGACCACTGAACCAAAGTGGAAGCTGTGAATTAAGAGTTAACCTGTGAATGAGATTAAAAAGAAAGATAAAATTAGCCTAGACATAAAGACCCTAGTTAAAGAGAATAAATTCAACCGGATGTGCAAGGGACTGAGACACATGAAGAGAAAATGAAACAAATGAAGAGGCTAAAAATGGTCAAAGAGGAAACTGATAGATACAGAACAGACCAAAGTAGAGCCAAGGAATACACACTGTCATTTCCGAAAAGAAAAGTGAAGCTATAAAACATGTACATCCCAGAAGTATTGTCAGGAAAGAAAGTCTATGAATTGAAAAGGCTTACAGCATTCCTGAACAAACTCCCAGAAAGTTCACCCCAGGCACACCCACAATTTATTAAGACTTAAGAGAACATTTGAGGGCTTCAGGCAACAAACCCAAACCACCGATAAAGGAAAGAAGTCACACTGGTATCAGATTTTCTTACAGCAAAGTACAAAAATCAGTGAAGAGTGGAGTATTATTTTCATATGACCAAAGGATTTTCTGTCAGCCAAACCATCCTTCAAAATTAAAGCTATAGAAAAATAGTTTTGAATATCCAAGAACTCACTGAATGCTGTGCTTACAAGTCTTTCATGAGACCCTACTACAAGATAATCTCCTGCAAACCAAGAGATAACTACGAAATGTGGCATAAACAAAAATGAGTATTTGTTTGTCAAAGACTAAAATAAAAAGTGAGAAAAAGGATACAGAAGTAGCATGAAAGTATTTTTTGCAGGGGATACTGTTCTGAAAAGGAAAAATACAGTCAACAAGTCAGAGGTAGAGGAATGGGAAGACGGGTGTGGGAGTGCTCTTCCAGGGTGCAGGCTAGGGCTGGGGAAGGAGGCCCACACAGAGCCGGCAGCCAAATAGACATGCACCACCAAGGCAACCACAGAAAGAAAGTACAGACCCATCTGGGTGCCCAAAGAATTAAAAAAAGAAGAAAGCAAAGATGACAGACACATTAAATATAGGAACAAATTATATGGCAGTTGGGATTGAACATATCAGTTATATCAATAAAAAAATGAATGTAAACAACTTAAGCCCACCCATTACAAGTTTCAGACCGACTCACAAAACCAACTCTGCCTAATACAAGAGACACAATTGCCAAGAGATTAAAAAAAGCCAAATATCAAGGAACAGGCAGAGTGTACCAGGCACCCATGCAGGCTGGAAAGCATGAGCTGCAACGTGTGTGTCTGATGGGGTATGAGCCAGGCCAGAAAAGACTCTGGACCCCACAGGACTCGCCTCACAGTGAAGAACAACATGAGCCCCAAACACAGAGGCTGGCTGAGTAAAGCAGAAACTGCAGGTGTTAGAAAAAGAATAGAAACACACCATCAGCCCAAAGCAAGCTAAGGGGTAACAAGTAAGTAAACGCAAAAGAGAACTGGTAACAGAGCCAGATATTAGGGACACATATGTCAGACTTTATATGCCAATAATAGAGAACAGACTTTCTTCTTAAACATGCTTGAAATATGTGCAACCAAGCCTAGTTTATGTCAGAACACACAGAAGATCTCAGATGACAGTCTGGGTAACGAGGCAAGACCAAAAATCAATGGACTTTAACCAAAGGATGTTCCATTGGTCACTTACATAGATTTAGAAACATACACAGGGAGCCTGCTCATGAAACATACACCTGTGGCATATATATTCCGGATCCCACTAAGCTCTCAGGAGCACCATGAGACCAGTGAGCGAGACCATGGCAGACAGACACGTGTGATGACTCATTCTTCCAGCCATACCAACACACCTCCGGGAGCCTGAGAGTATCGCCTGTGGAGGTGGATGTGAGGATGAGGAGAGCCCCAGCAAGGAGATGCTCTGCTCCTTCCCAGTGGGAGACAGGACTTCGCAGGAGGAAGGGGAGACAGAAAACAAGTGGGTATGACAGCCCCTCTCCTCTATGCTGAGGCCTGCTCTGCCCAGCAGCCCAGACAGCAGTGACAGAAAGCAGTGGTTTCTAGCATCTTGATGAACAGGCTGCCATAGCAGATCAGCTTCAAAAGCGAGGGCCTCCACAGATGTCAGACTCCCTCCTGGGCACATTCAACTGTCAACCACACAGTGCACACACATGTGCACAAACGTGGCACGTGGGAATATAAGCAGCTCACTCTGTTATCCGGCTCTTAACAAATGGTGTGGGCTTCCCCAGAAGTTTTGGGACATCAGAAGACCAGGAGGCAAAGTGCTGTCCTGCCGCAGCTGCGGGGGTCCTTCCCTCTTATCTCAGGCAGGTCTTGGGCAGATGCTGCAGGTGACAACCATGACAGTTGTCATGTGGCCATCTAGTGGGAGGCTGGCTAAGAAGAGTGAAGGGCATGGGAAGGCTGGACTGCTGATCCCCTGGCTAGTTGGGCTCCTCAGGAATACAGGTATGGAAGTTTGACGAGTCTTCAAGCTGATCCCTTAAATCTCTATAGTACCCAGCAGGAAAGAGTCTAAGAATTCATAAAAGAAAGGCCCTGCTTGACACAAAATTTTATTCAGCTTTAATTAAAGCAAAAACTATACACACAAACATGCACAAAGTTCATAGAAAAACACAATTAAAAGATAAAAATTTAAAATATTAACTATATTCTTTAACATAAGCTCCATCAAGGCCAAGACACTGGGTGTGTTAGGACACCAGCCACTGCATCCCTGCCTACAGAACTGAGGTGCTGGGGACCTGGCCT